CAAAGAATCTAACCCTAGTTAAAAAAACCAACCCACTCCACTAATTAAAAAAGATCCAGAAAACGACAATGGAATTCGCGTATTTAACCGGTTACATTCGAAGCCATTGAAGGGAAATAGAGGGAGCCTATTCGCATTTTGGAGAAGTCGCAGAAGAGGAGAGAGAGAGAGAGAGAGAGAGAGAGAGAGCTGACACGGTGTCGTTGTCTTGGTGAAAGGAACAAATGGCTGTGTCCTCGTGTACGTGTCCTGCTAGGGTTTTTAATGCATATTCTTCATTCGAGTGCCGTTCCGATCCCGACTTCTCCGGTGCACCGATCGGGGACAAGCCTCGTGTCGGGTCTACCCGAAGGGTGACGGCATCGTCGTTTTGCACTGGAGGAGGAATCAGCGGCGGGGGTTTATCGTCTCTGATCTTTCGTTTCCCGCCTAACTTCGTGCGCCAGCTTAGAGTCAAGGCTCGCCGCAACTGTAGCAACATCGGTGTCGCACAAGTCGTCGCTGCTTCATGGTCGAACAGTCCCGTTTCAGGTTCCCCCTCCTCGGCGGCTGCTGCTGCTCAGGCTGCCGCAGCCGCAGCGGCCGCCGCTGCCGCCCCCGTAGCTGATGTCGTGGCGGTTGTAGAAGGTTGTATTGACAACGGTAGTGTACAGATTGCGGCTTCAGATAATTCCAGGACATCGTTTTTGAGCTCCGATGGGAGCATCACTGTTCATGCTGGTAAATAAATTAATAATTTTTAATTTTTTAATTCCCTTAAAAAATATATATTTATTTATTTCTTAATGTTTTCTTTTTTAAAAAGTTTTGATTTTGAAAGGATAGCGATATTTGTAGTTAATATTTTGATTCATGTTTTTGAGATCATTAGTAATTAAAGATTCAATTTTTTTATAGATTTAATCATTAATTAATAATTATTTATTTACAGTTTCCTTTAATCACGTTATCTTCTCTTATTAAATCCTACGTTTACGTGGAAAAATAAGTATCTAAGCCCATTTATATGATTTTTTAATAATTAAAAACTAAGGTTTTTGCTTTTTCTTTTTTTTTAAATTTTTTTGCAGGTGAAAGACTAGGTCGCGGTATAGTTACTGATGCAATTACTACTCCGGTGGTTAATACTTCTGCTTACTTCTTTAAGAAAACTCAGGAGCTTATTGACTTCAAGGTATAATAATATGCAACCCTTTCTCTATTCTCAGGCTGTGGCCTCTTTTGTACCAAAAAAAGATTCTCATTGATCCATTTAGGTACTTGTTAAGGTTTCTATTTAAATAAGTATCTTGGTTCACTATATATTAAGTCGCTATTCTCAGGTCAGCTACTATAAGGTAGCATTTGCCAAAATACAATGCTAATGATGTCTTTTGCTTTTTTGTTGGATGAGCATGTGATGGTTGACCCAGAGATTGTATTGCATTAACATGTTGTGTGATCTTGTTGCAGGAGAAACGCCATAAAAGTTTTGAATATGGGCGGTATGGGAATCCAACCACAGTGGTTGCCGAGGAGAAGATAAGGTTTGGCTGCTTCTCTCTTTTTGTCATTTTTATTGTCATTTTTGAAACATTCATTAGATAATCTTTCTTTGTTTCAGTGCACTTGAGGGGGCTGAATCGACCCTGATTATGGCATCTGGAATGTGTGCTAGCACAGTCATGCTGATGGCATTGGTTCCTGCTGGTGGTCATATTGTGACAACAACAGATTGCTACCGAAAAACTAGGATATTCATTGAGACCATTCTGCCTAAAATGGGAATCTCAGTATGGCTTCAAATTCGTTTTTGTTACTCTTTTGTTTCATTGCATTGTTTTTTAAGAATCTTGGTGAGTGAAATGCCCAGGGATTTTGTACCATGCTTTTTTTATGGTGGGCATTGGGGCAATGATGTTGAAATAGCTTTTAACTAAAATATAGATGCATCTAGGGGAATGTAGTTTTTAAAGTAAAAGTTTACACCTGCCCCCTTTCTTTTTTTGATATTTTGGTTATATATGAGAAGTTCCAATGCAATAAGAACCTAATGCTGTTTGTAGCAATTTTAATGCTTGACTTGCTCAAATTCTATATTTCTATAGGGTAATATGTTGAATTTTGGTTCATTTCTAATTTTGTTCTGGTTATCATCCAATTTGCAGGCTACTGTTATTGACCCAGCGGATGTGGATGGCTTGGAGGCTGCACTCGATAAGAACAAAGTTAGTAGCATAGAAAGTGGTTCCATTGTTTTGCTAGATTTATCTTGTTATGTTTGCTTTGAAAATGACGGTTCATCCTGAGTTCAGAGTGAATTCTTATGATTCCATGCAGGTTTCTCTTTTCTTTACTGAGTCTCCAACAAATCCGTTCCTCAGATGTGTTGACATAGAAAAAGTTTCAAAGCTGTGCCACAGCAAAGGTGCACTTGTTTGCATTGATGGTACCTTTGCTACACCTCTTAACCAGAAGGCCCTGGCCCTTGGTGCTGATCTTGTGTTGCACTCTGCGACAAAATTCATTGGGGGCCACAATGATGTAAGCATTTGCTCTTGTTCATTTAGTCAGTAATGAAATGAGTTCTCTGTTTATGCTGTCTATTATCCTTAATTCAAGGAATAAACAAGTGTAATTCTTCATGTCACAGGTTCTTGCTGGTTGCATAAGTGGTTCTGAGAAGTTGGTTACTGAAATTCGTACTTTGCATCATATTTTGGGCGGTACTCTCAACCCAGTGAGTTCTCCCGAATCTTGATTAAGCAGTTTCTTTCATGTTGTCAAATCATATATACTAATTTGTCAGCCTTAAGTAGATTTATTTGTTTATTGTACTCAGTTAAGAGGACTGATCATTAAGGTGATAGGTTGAACTTCTAGTCTGAGAAGAATATGTTGCGTTATAATGACTTTCACCTTATTTTTTGAAGATTTGTGCCCTAATATTTCTCCATTATAAGTTGCATAGTTTACAAAATAATATGTTTGTTTCAATGTTTAAACAGAATGCCGCGTATCTGATCATCAGAGGCATGAAGACACTGCATCTTCGTGTACAGCAACAAAATTCAACAGCATTAAGGATGGCCAAAGTTTTAGAGGCACATCCTAATGTATGAATAGCTGTGACTTTCCCTTTGTTTTGGTCCTTTTTTTTTTTTTTGTGTATATAACATTTAATGCAACTCAATTTAAGTGCCAATCAACCAGAAAACGGCAAAAAAGTGGAGGATGGGATCATGGGAATGACTGTAGTCAATTTTAAAAGAAGTGAACAACACAGTGCGCTTGTGAATTAAGTTGGTTGCTGTTGGATTTTAGTGTCTTCAATGAACAAGTCCATCCTTCCTTTGGTTCTTTCCAACATTTTATGTCATTCTTATGCATGCTTGAACTTCCTCGAGAGGATTTGGTTTACTTTCAATAGATGTGATAGTGCCATTGCATCTGGTTCCCAATGGGAATATTTCCTCAACAGTTGGTAATTATAAGTTGTATTTGCATGGCCTTACTGGTTGAATGACCTTCATCTAGCTTTTGATGTCGTTGTATTTCGAACCTAGTCTGACTTTCTTTGATTTATCATTTCTTATCTAATTTGGACTTATTTCCCTGATCTCTTGGCTTATTAAATATCAATGGCAGGTGAGGCGCGTCTATTATCCAGGCTTGCCAAGTCATCCTGAACACGAACTTGCCAAGCAGCAAATGACTGGCTTTGGTGGTGTGGTCAGTTTTGAGGTTGGTATTTTCTAACTATTTTAACCTTGTAACTAGGAATTCATCTTTAATCTCTGTTGCTTTTATTTGATATTATTCATGCAAAAATTGTTCAAAAGTTCATGTCTTCTAAATCATTCAGGTGGATGGAGATTTGATGACCACCATCAAGTTCGTTGATGCATTGAAGATACCATACATTGCTCCATCCTTTGGTGGCTGTGAGAGCATTGTGGATCAACCAGCTATAATGTCCTATTGGTATGGCATTATTTCTGTTTTATGTATTCGTCCGTACTGCATTTGTTTATCCATCTAAGCAATAGGTCAACTGTTGATGAAGTGAGATTGAGGAAAGAAATGAGAACATATACATACAAAACAATGAGAGCATGATGAACCTAAGAGTTCGTAACTAATACACTGTCAGATTGATATCGACTTATGTTAATAAATAAGAGTGTTAAATATTTGATATAGACATCGCCTGACATTGATTGAAATCATTTTCATGGTTATTTAACATAATTATGTTTGTTTACGGGTGGTTTTAAAACTCCATTAATCTTTTTGTGCAATATGAAACAGGGATCTTAGCCCAGCTGAGAGGCGCAAGTATGGAATCGAGGATAACTTGGTTCGATTCAGCTTTGGAGTTGAAGACTTTGAAGATTTGAAGGCTGATATACTCCAGGCCCTGGAGACCATATAATGGCGCACATTGCCTGTCTTTGTTTCCCCCCTTGTTGCAACGATTATGGTAGTTTAGGAGACCAATCTAGTTATTTTGGTTTTGCAATTGGCATTGAACTTCAAAGTTCAGGGATGATTAGGAACTTTATTTGTAATGCTTTTCTCGATGAGATTGGGCTTTTGATATCCAGTTTTATGAATGTTTCATAGGGGGAATAAGCAAGATCAAAATTGAAAACAAAAGCTGAAACAAGCTCAAGGAGGGAAATTCAGGAGGGAAATTCAGTATCTTAATTTACATTTTAAAACTTTCTTGCATTGCAAATGAATTAGATTTGCTAAAACATCTGTTAATTGAATCAAAATGCAACTTAATATATGCCAATCAAAAACAAATTGTACTTGGTAATTGCTGAATGATATAATTGGATCTCTCATTCCCCTAATATTTATTATAAAATCATTTGGATCATGAGTAATTTTTTAACAAATGACATTTAATTCATATTTTAAATTTCAGTACGTATAGAAATTTTTTATTGCCAGAATGTGATTTGCTTTATATATAAAATAAAAATAAAAACATTGAATTTTTTTTCACCTGTAATCATATTGGGGAAAATATAAAACAAAAGCAATGTATAGATTAAACAAATCAATTACTATTATTGTTATCATCTTTATCCATTTTCCATTAGACTCCAACTTCCAGCTTACGGCCTTTTGAGATTCTCCTCCCACTTTTATTTTCTCCCATACTTCATGAAGAAAACCCAGAAAAAAATCTTCATCGTAATTGTCCAAAAAAAAAAAAAAAATCAATGAAATTCGGTGAGGAGTTCAAGACCCATCTAGAGGAGACTCTACCCGAGTGGAGGGACAAATTCCTATGTTACAAACCCCTGAAGAAACTCCTCAAAAACATTCCTTCAACCCCATCGCTTGATCCTCATCTTCCCCGTGATCAACGGCTTGTATTAGCGGACGCCACCAACACAGCTGTTCTGGCCGTTGATCATTATCACCAACAGCCTTCGGTTGATTTGCAAGATTGGTTCGTTAGAATTCTGAATGAAGAGCTTGAAAAGTTCAATGATTTTTATGTTGATAAAGAAGAAGAGTTCGTTATTCGCTTTCAGGTTCTTCACCCTTTTAACCCTCTCTTTTATCTTCATTTCTTTTTCCTTTTTTGGGTATTAGTTAGATTATGTGTTACAAATGAATAAAAAGGTTATTGGGTTTCTCTTAAAATTTTCATTAAATGGGCAGTTTTTTTTTTTTTTTAACATATAGTTGTGAGAATGAAGTTGAATTTTGCTTTTTGATGGCATAAAGATAAAATTAAGAAACATTTTAGGAGTTTAAAGTTTTGTTTTTGCTTCATAGATTGTTGGGTTATTGAAACTTTTTGGACGGGAACAGTGGTGGTGGCAAGCAAATTTTGGAGGGTCACTGAGAATTAGAAACTCTGATTGTTGTTGGAATATGCAAAATAGTGGGGATATGAGAGTTATAATTCCAAGACAATGTTTTCAATGCCATTGGTTCCTCTGTGTTTATAGTTATCTTGTTAAATTTGTGGTCAAAGTCCCTATATTGAATGCAATTTTTGGAAAGGTTATTGTCTTGGGAATTTCTCATGGATGATGATACTTGATGCAAGCTTTAAAATTGTCAAGCAAATATGTACCAAAAAAGAAAAATTGTCCGGCAAATGTAACAATCATAAACCAGTACTCGATGGTGTTGCTTGCCAAATAACATTTTAAGACATCTAAATAATTATGATTTGTCAAGATATCTGGGAGATTATAACCATATAATTTTGCTTGCATCTGAGTTCCGACATTGTTTGAGTGTTCTTCTGTTAAGCTGAACTCCATAGGTTTTGGTATGTTGAGAAAACCTCTCATGACAATCCATTTTACCATATCAACTGGATCTCTAGTGGAGCTCTGTCAAAATTTGATTTGCTTGAGTTTTCCAAAGATTATTATATGCCTTCTAGTTATTTGGAAGTGGTGGAGAATGTGAATATTTTTGGCACATCATAATCGTCTAGATGTCTTAAAAAGTTATTCCTCTTTTATCAGTTTAATATGTTGAATGAGCAGTTTCCTTGGGTAACATAATTTTTGGCAATGATGCTAAATTGGTCTAGTCCTTTGAAATCTACTCAAGTCATTCAAGAAATCCAAATTGGTCAGTCATGCTTAATATACTTTCAAGTTCATCTTTTGTTATTTTAGGTAGTGCAAGTTGCATATTAAACCAATTTTAACTCAATAAGCACTCCTCTCATCCCCATTCTCATCATGGTCTTCTTATTCCCATAGTGTAAATGGCCAGCTCATCTTTTCAGTTTATTTTAGTTTTCTGTTGATCATAATGTGATTTTTCCTTCCATGTTCTAGTTGGCATCTATTGCATCAAAACAAAAGATTGAAATCTGAAATCTAGTATATAACAGAACACTAATCTTGTGTAAATGTTTTTCGGTGGTTTACTTAGCTCTTTTTGCTTTAGGTTTTGGTTTTGGTTTTTGAGAGTATGAATCTGTATAAATCTTATTTATTCTGCAGTTTTTTAAGATTCCTAGTGTAATAATCTCCATTGGTCAGTGTAGAGTTCTCTGCATGTAATTAATGTTCTATTTCTAATTTTTTATGCAATTCTATTCTTGTAAAAGGAGCTGAAGGAAAGAATTGAACAAATTAAGGAGTACAGTGGCAAGGGTGGAGTTTTTGGATCAGAGCGTGAATTTAGTGAAGAAATGATGGATATTCACAAGGATCTCGTCACTATTCATGGGGAAATGGTACTTCTCAAAAATTACAGTGCCCTCAATTTTGCAGGTACGAAAATTACATCATATATTTCTTTCTACTATACGTATTGTCAATTTCTAAACCATTTCTATATTTCTGCTTTATTAGGGATTGTTAAAATTTTAAAGAAGTATGATAAACGAACAGGGGGGCTGTTGCGACTCCAGTTCACGCAATTTGTCCTTCACCAGCCTTTCTTCACAATAGAATCTCTTACAAGGCTAGTACATGAGTGTGAAGCCAATCTTGAGCTTCTCTTTCCACTTGAAGCAGAAGTCATTGAATCTTCTCCACATGGAGAACCAAACCAACCATCAAATAACACTGCAAATCATTCACAGGAAGCTTCATCAACTCTGGGTCAGGAAACCTTGGAGATATATCGTAGCACTCTGGCTGCAATGAAAGCAATACACGGCCTTCAAAAGGCAAGCTCCACCTACAATCCGTTATCGTTCTCCGCTCTCCTTAGGAACCAGGATGATGACAATGGTGCTTTAACGGCAGAAAACTCTGGTTCAAAATCTTCAGCCACTTTGCAAATGGGCGAGGAGGCTGATAAAGAGGATGCACAATCTGTGCAACTAATCTAGTTTTCCATTTTTCTTGGCTAGTTTATCTTTTTTTTGGCTTTATATCTTCGAACGACTGACAAATGAATAATGTGTTTGACGCTGTGTTTTGCATTTTCACAGTGCATAAGCTGGGTTCAAGATTAAGGTAACACTAATCTGAATAGTGTTGATTTTTAATGCTTTTCTTTTTTGGGTATATTTGAGAAGTCTAAGGGGGATTTTAATTTTGTAACCTTAAACCCCCCAATGGGAAAGAAAACAACCATTAGAGTCTTACATCGATTACGTACTAGAGTTGGATCAAAAGATCGAATATTTGAAGGTGAAATTCTCTTAAAATTTTAATTGTGCATCTATTGTTGGCTATCAGGATGTAGTTTTCATCCAATATATATTGTGCCACTAAAATGTACCCTTTTGATATGCTTTCCTCCGTTGACAATAAAATGAATTAAGTAATTAAAAAAAATATATATATATATTTATATAACAAGGTAATCTTGAATGAAATTTCAGTGAATTTGTATAGGAAAAAAAAATCTCCTATCATTTCTCCTGTGCAGTGAATGTTTATATGTCTTCATTGTAGTCATATATGGTAAAAAGGCAAGGCTACTGATATGAATGCCCGGTACTTGGCCACATTGTTCAAATGCTCATTCTCCGACCTGATCAGTTGAAAATCAAGTAAGAAACGGTTTGGGTTAGTAGGTCTCGTATCAATGAAAAGGAAACTACTTAAAAATGTGAAAATAATGGCAGCCTATAAGGCACAGTATAAAGCCGAAAAAGCTGATAAAATGTGAAACTAGTTCACATGATTACATCAAAAGGCCGAGGGGAAAAGGGTAACCCTCAAGTAAAATAAATCTCCTATGGACTATGGAAAAATGTTTTACCTGGCTTATGCTTTGTTTGATAATTTAAAATATAATATTATAATTAATATAAAATAATATGAAAATGACTTGATTTAAAGTTTTAGTAAAAATTATATATGATTTTAATAAAAATAAATAAATATGATTTTAATAAAAATAAATAAATATATTTCGTATTTTTTATTGATACAAATTAAAGTAAATAATTTTTGTATAAACTATTATATAAATATAAAAATTATCAATATTTTATCCGAAATAAATATATAAATGATTAAATCTATACTTAAGATATTTTACCTTGATTTTAGGTAAAGGTTAAAGCCTAGGAACATAGATTTACTCACACATAGAAGACTCAATATTAACAGCAATGAATAGATAGACCCGCCCCATATAAGTCCAAAGGTCGAAAAATTGGATATTGGGGCTAACAACTCATAAGCCTATATTTGGAGTTAAAATAAAAAGAAAAGGAATACAGTAGGTACTTTTTAACATCAGACAAAAAAAAAAAAAAAAAAGAAAATGAAGAAATAAAAGAACCTGCCAATTTTTAGCTTGTGCTTAAGCTGAAACTTGTCAAAAACGTTGGAACAACTCAATTTTCAGGAATCTGCATAATAATCTAGAACATAAAAATGGTGGATGGTCCATAGTTGAGAAGAGTGCAAGGAATTAAGCATATATGATGTTGATTCCAATTAATTCAGTCCATGATTTTCCTTGCGTTTGTAGGGATTTTTGTAGCCACTTATCCATAATCAAGAAGATTTGAATTCATCTTCAATCATTAGGTAATTAATTCAAAATTAATTAGGATTTCAAAAAGTTACGAGATTTATTAAACTACTTCCCCGTCTAGAATATATTTTTCCTTTATCAAATGACTGTTTTCAAATTGATTTAGGGTTGAGGCCATCTATTTGTATAGAAATGCATGCATGCATACATATGTTTATATATATAAATTTATATCTAATGTATTCTTAATATATAAATTTTGTATATTATTACATATAATTATTTTATTAATAAAAAAATATGAATTTTTAGAAAATTTTAAAATAAATATATAAAATTTAATTTTAAATTTTTTTTATTAATGAAATAATATCATATGATTTCTTGACAACGTATTAAAATTTTTAATTATAATGACAGTTTATTAAATATAAATTCATAGTTAATATATCAAAGTAAATTTTAGATTTTTTTTTTAAATCAAAATAACTAAAATTAAAAATATTATTATGATCCAAATTAATCATAAATTTAATTTTGATCCAAAAAATAAAAAAAATATATACAACTTACACTCGTGTAGGCATATACCACTCAATGATATATATTTTAATACATGGGTAATTTATGAAAATAAAGAACCGAAAAATAAAACTCACTCCTATCGAAATTCTAACAATTATTATTAGTATTATTAGTTTAATTACTTGGCAGAATCTAATAGGCTGTCATAAACTCATAAATAAGCGTTCTTTAACGATAGAAAAAATACTCCTTAACGTAATGGTCCAACAACATTAACTGAAACAGATCTCTTCCAAAGTTTACGAAAGTTTCAAAACAAAACCAAAAAATAAAACAGGGAATTTTTTTTTCTCTTTGTCTAAGACGAGAATGTCTAGATTAAATCTGGTTTAGTTCTGATAATGCTAGGGTTAATGTTGGAAACAGACATTGGGGAATCAATGAGATTTGAGTTGGACTCAGGGAACACCAAATGCATTTCAGAAGACATCAAGCCAAATGCAATGACTGTTGGCAAATACAACATTGTCAATCCAAATGAAGGTTACTCTTTGCCTGATACCCACAAACTCACTGTTAGGGTAAGTCCCAAGCTTTTTTTTTTGTTTTTTTACTTTTGGGTTTTGTTGCTTTTTATTTTGATTTGCCTTTTCGGATTTTTGGGGGTTGAATTTTGATTGATTTGAGAAGTTTAATTTAGTTTGGAAAGTTTAAGATATAATTTGGAGATAAAGTTTGTTCTTTTTCAAAAAAAAAAAAAATTGCTTTCTTTCGTTGGGTGAATCTATGGTGGAAGTTTGATGTAGGAAAGAATTTAGATTGTTGGATTGAGATAACAATTTTGAATAAAAATGGTAATTTGAAAACTCAATTGTTCTTGGGCTAAATGCATTTCCGTTGTTGGGATATTATTAGGCTTGGTTTATTTCTATTTTTCAATTATTTTTACTGTTCATTTCCATTTGTTTTAGGGAATTAATGCAAGAGAAAAAAAAAAAAAAGGATTAATGGGTATAAATTAAAATTTTGAAATACAAATTAAGCTTTGAAATTAGCCCTCCTTGATTTTGTATTTCATGGGGATAAGTTTTGTTGCTAACAAGGTGTTTATTTATTGTTTTAGGTGACTTCACCTTATGGGAACAATTATCACCTTGGAGATCATGTGGATTCAGGTACTTTTGCATTCACTGCAGCCGAGGGTGGTGATTACACTACTTGTTTTTGGGCTATTGAGCACAAGCCTCCGGTAAGGATTACCATTGAATTTGATTGGAAAACTGGTGTTGCTGCTAAGGGTTGGTCCAAGGTTGCCAAGAAAGGGCAGGTTGAAGTAAGTGTGTTCACCATGACCCTTTTCTTATTGTTCGTGCATAATTAGTACTTTGATTAATGTCTAAATTAGATTTTGCGACTTCTGGAAACAAAAGTAAATTCGTAGGTCCAGTCAATGGTAGTAGTTTCTTGGTTCATATAATAATTGCTTCTCATGTTTTTGATCTAATATAAATCCATAATTCGTAATTTCGACTAATGATCATATAGCTTTGGCTACCTATATTCATGAAGCTGCCATTTAAAATTGCTGACAACATGCCTGAAGTTGACGTCAGCCAAACATTCTTATACATGAGCAAATTCTTTCATATATAGCATTTAACAGTGAGCTTTATTGATATTTATCATTGGTATTGTGTTTCATTTTCTGTTTTCTACTTGAATTATGTCCATAGAAAGCATTTAGTTGAACTTGATTGTACAACTATCATTAGAAAAAACAAGTTTCTGCAGTTCTAAAGGATGTTCTAAGATGCATAATGAACTATGTTTTTGGTGTTTTAAATGTTATTAATGTATGCGATAATATGATTTAACCTGCTTTAGAAAGTCACACTACAAAGTAGTATGAGTTAAAGGATTAGTTTGAATGGTAATTTCACTCCTTGTAGTGGAAAGTCACAACAAAATATGAGTTAAGGATTAGTTTTTTATGGGAAGTTGTTCTTTGGTATTTCTGGATGATTTAGTTTTCCTCCTATATGTGAACTATAAGTATAATGAATCTTAGTATGAAGCTGCTTTGAGAACATAGGAGGTGGAGGAAAGGAGAAATCTGCTGTGCACCATTCTCGTGTGAATTTTGATATGATATATGGATGTCTGAATGCCTCTAATAAAGAAGTCAGAATATGCTATTTCATAGTTGTGTTTGTAACATTGAATGCCTGTTAACATGAAAAAAAGACGGTTAAGAAAATGTAACATGACAACTTTAGTGAGAGTTTTGGATTGTATCACCGGTTATCGACTTAAAATTTGTTTCCTTGTGCTAGACAATGGAACTTGAGTTGAAGAAATTGTATGACACTGTCACATCCATTCATGAAGAGATGTTTTATCTTCGTGAGAGGTATGAAACAACTACTGCTGTTATAGCTATTGTGAAGCACCAGTAGGCTTTTACATGTTTTGATCATTCCTTTTCTCTATCTGTTTCTTTTTTTCCAGGGAGGAAGAAATGCAACAGCTTAATAGTGAAACAAATTCCAAAATGGCTACTCTTAGCTTCTTTTCGCTTGTTGTTTGCATGTGTGTGGCTGGGTTGCAGATATGGCATCTAAAGACATTTTTTGAGAGGAAGAAGCTCCTGTAATTTTGCTTTGTTCTCCTTCTAACTTTGATGTGTGGAAGCTACAGGCTTCTCATATGTACCTTCATTGTTCTTTTCAGAGGCTAAATGTAATAAGACTAATTTATGAATCAAGCTGGAATTGTAGTCTGCAGAAGTTCACAATAGAAAATTTTCCTATCTGCTGTAGTTTGAACATTATTTATTTTTGATTAATTTGCTGAGTTGTGTTATACCTTAATGGCCACGTCAGTAACATTCACGTCATCAGGGCTTACACATGGCTGTCTAACTAGCCACGCGATCTATGAGGGTTTAAAAGGGGGAATCAGAGCAGACATGCATCGTATTTACTACTCTACTCTCTTTACTTTCTCTCTCACCATCTTAACATCCAGCGGGTCTCTCTCACATCAAGATCTGAAATTACATTAACAAATCGAATTACAGTTCTTGACTATCCTTTTAGTTGAAGAAAACTTGTAACTGTTCCTAATGAAAAAAGCACGAGGATTTACAAAAGAAATCCCTGATTATAGTGCTTACAAGTAGTATAATTCGTGATTGATTCGATATCAGTTAGCTACACACTCAGAAGTATAATGCTTAGGAATTAAGATCCCGTCCTAACAAGAGTTCAGTCATAACCTGAGACTAAAGCTGAAATATAGCTGATGTCTTACTGAGTGGTATTGCCAACTCATTCTGATGTTTGTTCCGAATTCTAATGAATCTGTACATGACTCAAATGCATACATGATTTTAGAGAATCACAATGGAAAATTGTCATATGAAACAACGAAGGTAATTGATGTTTAGATGAATCTAGAAGCCAAAGTTCAATTTGTAGTTATGCCAAGTCTCACCTTTCATATATCAATCAATTAAATAGTAAATACAAGCTTCGATAATAAGCACGACCAAGTGCAGCAAACTAGATTTTGGGGGGGATTTTATTGACAATCACGGACAGTGACACACACACATGAAGCACTCAGAAACAGCAGGATGAATTGAGAATTAAGATGTTTCCCCAGCCGATAGTAGACTTGAGGTTGAGATGCAAATCAAGAGGTAGAGGTTACCCACTAGAAGTTCCTCGTGATATGACAAAAGTTCCTGAGCTTGACATTGTAAGCAGCAGAAGAAAAACATGAGCCTTGCACATTGCACGGTAAATCATTCCTTAAACAATCCAAAGCTCTCATGTTGCAGACAAGATGGGAATTCCTCTGTTTCTTCTTTGTCATGACAAAGAATTAAAGCAAAAAAAGAAAGTTGGAGATGCGGGGGATCGAACCCCGTACCTCTCGCATGCAAAGCGAGCGCTCTACCATTTGAGCTACATCCCCACTTCTTTATTTGCCACAAAATAAAAGGATTAATTACTCTTAACTGTATTCATTCTTTCAAATTGATTCATTCAATGTCGATGTGACATAATCGTGGATTATCACCAGAAATCACAGCAAGAACGTGATCCTTGCTTAAAACAATGAAACAGTTGCGATCTCTGACAACATTTTCCTGGTTGTAGATCTTCGAAGGAATGATTTTGTTGAGCACATAACAGACGGAGTAAGCGAGAAGAGAAGGAAGGGAAGGCTCGGAGGTTGGCCATGTCATCCATCTTAATTTTCCAAGCAACAATGAACAGAGAAGGGCCATATTCTTTAAATATTTTTTATAAAAAATTTCACAGTTTAAAAATAAAAATAAAATTACTCATATTAAAATTTAATCCTTATATCCGTGAAGTGTCACTTTTTTAAGATTACTATATGAATTCATTGATATAAGCTCTGGATCCAAATTATTCTCATTTGCTGAAGCTGCAAAACGGGAAACCTTCTTCCCTTTCAAAGCCGAAGTGGAAGAGTAGGCAAAATTATTTCTTAAAAGTCACCGCATAGAATTGAAATAATGAATAATACAGTCTTTGGATTAATGAAGAATACATTTATACTAGCACTCAAAATGGGCAAGCTGGCATGGACAAAATAAGATTATGTATCTCGGAAACATCCACAAACCCAGACAAAACCTAGAACGGAAGATAGCAATGGTGACCATTTAGCAAGTTTGAAGTACAAAACAACGGCGATAGCAATGATAAGGACTGAAATAATGATGCCAACGATCCATTTGTTCCTGCTTATCCTCCTTGACATAGCTGTCAAAACTCGCTTACTCTTGCCAATGTTGTCATCCACTCCATGAAGCTGTAATAGAAAGGAAAACCCAACTTTAAATAGATAGTCCAAATGGTTTACAATCAACCATTTCAGGTTAATGTGAGAAAATATAAGGCTTAGCTATCATATAAGTCTTACGACCTAGCATTTTCATGAACGGAAAAATTTGCAATCAACCATTACAGTTTAATATAAGAAAATTTGACATCTAACTACCATATAAGACTTCAACACATGTTTATGCGACAGGAAGGCTTACAATCAATCATTACAGCTTAATGTGAGAATATTTAAGGTCTAACTATCATATAAGCCTTCCACATAGCATGCTCATGCAATGGTCAGCTCAAAACAGGGAAGAAGAAGGAAACGAATAATGCTTGATGACTACAAGGTGGCACGCTGGTGCCTTTTTGGAATGAATACTAAGTTCATAATCAAACAAAACAGTTACGATTAAGGTGTTGTTAGATAGCGCATGAATGAAATTACAACTCAAATATGAGAAAAATAAAATGCTAAAAAGAGCATACAAATGATATAGAATCAAAGGTCACAAGCCATAAAGAGAGTAGACAACCTCAGTGGAAAAGAAAGAAATACCGTGTTATTGGCATGTAAGAGAGCCTGTCGCTGCAAATGCAAATCCTGAAGAATTGAAACACCAAGCTCTTCTGTTTCCAGCATGGTTCTTCTGCTGTCCTTAATTCTGTCACTGCTCTGATTCAACCGCTCTGTAGTCATCATTAGTCTCGATCTTTGATCAGATGATGCTTATTACATATTCATCAATTAAGTAATCAAAAGTTAAATGTAAGGAAAGCAGACCAGTAATAGAACCACAGCATGTTAAAAGGAAGGAAGAAGAAGCAAAACATATCGAAAGGGCATCAGCCATTCCAGACTCTAAGAACTCATCTCGAGCATCAGGATTTAAATTGCCAGATGCAATTCTTTTAACTTCACTTTTCAGATTGTTAAGATCTGATTTATATTCCCTTAACTTAGCAAGAAGCACAGCCTTAACATTAGGCTGCAAACTTCTTGCCTCAAGGTCCATTTTCCGAATCTGAGAAACGAAAAGAGCAACATCAAGTTGAATAGCCAAAGAAAGGAAAGGCTAAAAAGGAGTATCCAAAGCATAAAATGAACCAGGTACCAAAGCTTCTGCATCATCCAATCCAGCTCTTATATCAGAAAGTTTTTGCTTCTTCAGCTCTGCAAATAAAAAAAACAATTAAGAATTTGAAAAAGAACAATTAACTAATCATAGAGGCTGATGCTCGAACAAATTCAAAACATTTCTCATCAAACACTTCTGATTAACTAAAAAAGTGAACTTACTGCATTATTCAACATAATGAAATGCATATTATTCAGATTCATATGTCTTAATTGTCTGTCTACCAAACTCTTTACTATCACTTTTCTTTACCAATTCAATGCTTCACACAGTTGATGCAAGGGTAACCGCGCATAAGTTTTTTCTAAAATGGAGTAAACTAAAATCTTTACTCCCAAGTAGAGATACATTTAATCTTAGTTATCCCTTAAATGGGGTACTCTAAGCCATATCAGTTCGATGCCATTTTTTACAAGACCAAACTTATCAAGTGACTGCTGAATTTAATTCCAATTCATATATCTTAATTGTACGTCTACCAACTCTTTTCTTCGCTTTCCTTTGCTGTTTTCAGAGATTCACACGATACATGCAAGTAACAATACATCCATTTAAAGATTCCAAGTAAAAAACAAAATCAAAGCGTCTTAAAGCTGCGTCATTTCACATCAAAATATGATACAACTATACAAGTTAATTCCAAAACTCGGATTCATTTCATTTGTAGTAGTTTAATATATTACTAATTTACTAAGCAAACTGATTCCAATAACAACAGGCACTCCACTTTCTACTTCAGAATTACTTCCTAAACCAATTTATGGCTTAAAATTCAGGACATTTCAAATTCTTCCCCCATATATATATATATATATATATAACTCAAAGTTCCAAATTCAAGTGACAGAAGTTTACTTTTTACCCCTAATCTACATCAATGCTAAAGGGAATTCCAGAAAATAGTTAAAAAAAAATTAAATACTTTAAGATGAAAATACGCAGTGTGGAAATCTAATTAAGTAAATTAGATTAAATCAAATTTAAAATTTAAAAACCAAAGAAGAGTAAAGAATATCGGATCTTCTTTTCTTCTTATTCTTCTTCATATCTCCCAGATTAAGCAATCTAGTTTTTTTCTTTAGTTTAAAATTGTGATCAGCATAAATCCAAAAAAAAGCACAAAATAATCCGAGAATCATTAGTCACTCTAAATTAGAAAGGAAAAAGGGATTATGATATCACGTGTCGGTAATTAGGAGCAAGATAACGAAGAAATTAACCAAAAACATGTATAAAGAAAGGATTTTTTACAGGTAGATTAGAATTATAACCTCCATCGAGAGCAGCAGCAGCCGTACACTTCTTGGAATGGGTATAAGAATACAGAGGAATGGGTTTCTGGTAAAGAGATTTTATGTGTTAACACAAAAATTATACAGGGATTTACTCTGTGTAGAACAAATGGACTCTACACACACTTTCCAACCATAAAACTCCTTCGAAAATTTTCAGGGAGTGGAAAAATGAAGCTGTCCTCCTGGCCTGCCAAGACAAGATTCCAGAACCAAACTGTGAAACTTCAATTCTGGATTCTGAGGTTTTGCAATATATGGTGCAGGGTATGAATGCCATTTACATCATCTTAAAACACATAATGCTCTGGGATTTTCCTTCTTCATGCTGTGGTCTTATTGGTTGGAACTAGCACTGCCCCATCAGTCATAGGAATTCCAGCTGTCTTCTTGTGTTTTGCTTGCATCTGCTCCAGTTCTTGTTCTGAGAACACTTCGGATTGCAAAGATGGAACTATATTCTTCACATGCAGCCATGTCAATTTCCAAAAACTATCTCCACCAATATCATCACTAGGCACGAGAACACCTGTTGTTTTCATCACCAGCAGGTGTTCTTGAGAAGCTCTGGGACTAATTCATGAATTTTTTCACTACGCTTTCCCCGGAACTTAACCTTCATATATCTCTCCATACGATTTAGAACCCCTAGCCATAGTTTGCAGAAGGATGGTTGCCGTGACAAATCCTGAAGTGACTGTATGAAAGCTTTTGACATTAGTTTTGTGGCTAAAACAAGTGTACCCTCCATTTTCCGATGTTCTTTAGAGGAACTCTGCTGTGCAATTTCTAGTAAATCATCCATTAACGTAAAAATCAAAAGATCAAAACACTGGATCCGCAAAGCATTTGGAACATGAATTCCATCTACCCCTCTGTAACATTAAAATAGCATGATTCCTCACCTCTTCTCTCTGGTCCAATCAGACTGCCATGTCACAGGTCGAGACTTAACTTTTAAGTTCGCGCGATTTTAGGATTCGGAAATGGACTCATTCGACATCCCAGATTAACTTAATTATCACAGTTCCAAATAGATTGCTCTTAGTTCCTGTGTCACGGGTCGAGACTCAACTTCAAAATCCGTTGTCACGATTCCAAACAGATTGCCCTCAATCTCTGTGTCATGGGTTGAGACTCAACTTCCAGGCGATTTTAGGACTCAGGCATAACCTCAATTTTTGTGTCACCGGTCGAGAGTCAACTTCTAGGTTCGCGCGGTTTTAAGACTCAAGCATAGACTCATTCGACGTCCCAGATCAACCTAACTATCATGATTTACGCAATTGTGAGATATTGTTCATTTCGGCCCTTTCTTAGTCTTATGGTTTTATCTTACAAAAGGGGCATCACAAGTTGAAGGTAGTGTAAACCCTTATATCTTATGATCAATTTCTCCTTAGGACCATAATACTGAGGAAGGACCGTGACATCCTCCTTCACTCTAATGGAGGTCCACTGTCTTTGGTGGCACATCACTAGTACCTCTGGAGCTGACTTTGATACCATTGACTCTTCTACGTCCCATAACCAACTTCTTTCTAGGACCGTGACATTCTCCCTCACTCCAACAAAAGCTCACTGAGAAAAGATCGGATCGAGACTTAAGCTCTAGGCTCGTGTTGCTCTAAGACATGGAGATGGATTTTTTCACGTCCTAAATTAGCCTAACTGCATGGTTTTGTCAAGAGGTATCACAAGTTGAAAGTGGTGTGAACCCTTATATCTCATGATTAACTTCTCCTTAGGACCATGACATCGAGGAAAGACCATGACATCCTCCTCCACTCCAACACAAATGATTAACTTCTCTTTAGGACCATGACACCGAGGAAGGACCGTGACATACTCCTCCACTCCAACACAAGCCCACTATCTTCGGTGGCATATCACTAGTACCTCTAGAGTTGACTCTGATACCAAGGACTCTTCTACGTCTCATGACCAACTTCTCTCTAGGACCGTGACATACTCTCCCCTTGCAACGAAAGTCTATAGAGAAAAGATCGGGTTGAGATTTAAGCTCTAGGCTCGTGCTGCTTCAAGACACGAAGATGGACTTTTTCGTGTCCTAGATTAAACCGTGACATCCTCTTCCACTCCAACAGAGGCCCACTGTCTTCGATGGCACATCACTAGTACTTCTAGAGTTGACTCCGATACCATGGACTCTTCTACATCTCATGATCAATTTCTTTTTAAGACAATGACATCCTCCCTTACTCCAACGAAAGCCTACAGAGAAAAGATCAGGTCGAGACTTAAACTCTATGTTCGTGCCGCTTCAAGACATGGAGATAGACTTTTTCACATTCTAAATTAACCTAACTGTCACGGTTTGCACTCTTATAAAGTATTTTCGCTTCGACCATCTTTGAGCTTATGGTTTATCCTACAAAAAATGCCTCACAAGTTAAAGATGGTGTGAATCCTCATATCTCATGATCAACTCTAGTACACAATTGATATGGGATTCATTGCTCCTTTCTAGGACCTGCACCAACCTCAGCCACATCTCTCCATTTTCCTGACTCACTTTCATAGTAGACTTCTCCTCCACAACAGTCTTGGCCTCGTAAGACCATCTTACTAGACAAACAACTGAACCTGCCATCATGTCTAGGGCAGAAATGGACCTATCAACCTCTCCAACCCGAGACTCAGTAAACTCCCCTTGCTGCTTCCACACAAAGAACATAGTTAGATGGCAAAAGATGTGCCCCCTCAGAAATGATGAATGCAAGTGCCTCGAATCCAAATTCAGATGCTTCTGGATGTCGAGCGGTGATAAATAAGGAGATGATTGTGCGCCAATCGAAATGGGATCTGATGTGAGTTGCATTTGCTTTTACAAGATGCATGACTTCTTGTGTGATAGGTTCACAATATGCATCAGCAACCCATGCATCAAGTTTCAATATTAGTTGCATTGACTTCAGAAGCTCATCAGTTAGATTTTCCTTGTAAGGAAGCAAGCGCTGGCATACCTTAAGGAGCCCAAACACGGCTTTTTTCACTAGATTGCAAGGCAATGCCTTCTGCTGAACAATATCTGCTATGTGCTTGTAAACATTTTGCCAGATAAGCAAAATCCTATCCCGGTTATTTAGTGTAGTAGCAATCAGCAACTCCAAGCAGAACACTGCAGTGTCTTTATCTTCCACAACACCACTTCCCTCACTGAATCGATCTGCAGCCAAGATAATAGCCCCAATAAGTTGCAATGAAGACTTTGCTTGGAGAAACTTACTCTCCATGAATATATTGTCAATGTGGCATTTCTGCACTATCTCACGAAGTTACTGTTGAGTAGCGAGCTGTTCCTCAGTTGGCTCTAACATTGGCTCCTCCACTTCAAAGGATAGGTGTAATACCCCAGCCCAAATAATAATTGGGCTAAATTAATACTAAAGCTCATCAGTTTATTAAGATATTATTTAGTAAAAGAAAAACTACTGAAGTATTAGATGAAAAAAAACATACCTATCGTGAAATAAAAAGGAAATAGAGTTCTTCTTCTTCGTCTTCTTTAGGGTTAGAGAATATGAAAAATCAAGTTAGAGATTTACAATCAGAGGCTACAATCAAGTTAATCCCTTAAAGGTAAGTACATACCCTCTTTTTATTTGAAAAGAAATATCAAGTTGATTGCTATTATTTGAAGTTGAAGTTTTGAGAGCAAAACCAAGAAAAATCATGAAATTTTTCATTAATCTTCATGATCTA